ATGCCTGTAGTCCCAGCTACTCAGGAGGCTGAGGCAGGAGAATTGCTTGAACCTGGGAGGCAGAGGTTGCAGTGGGCCGAGAAGTGCCACTGCACTCCAGCCTGGGTGACAAAGCAAGACTCAAAAAAAAAAAAAAAAAAAAGAAAGAAAGAAATTAGCCATGGTGAGAGTATTTATGTCACCGAAATTGGCAGATGCTGCAATCGAGGCTCTGCTTTTTCCTCGGAGAGCAGGTTTACCAGCACACTATGGGCTCAGGGACCTCCTACATTGGAGGGGCTAGAAAAACTTCCTTCAGGCCTGCAGATTTTAGTAGCTCATAAAAATGGGGCAGGGCAGGGCAACGTGCCTCACCTGCAAACCAGTGCTTTGGGAGACCAAGGCTGGAGGATCACTTGAAACCAGGAGCTCAAGACTGGCCTGGACAACATAGCGTGACACCATTTCTACAAGAATAAAAAAAAATTAGCAGGGTGTGCTGGTGTGCACCTGAATAGTTCCAGCTACTCAGGAGGCTGAGGCAGGAGGATTGCTTGAGCCCAGGAATTGGAGGCTGCAGTGAGCTATGATTGAGCCACTACACTCCAGCCTGGATGACAGAAAACTCTCAACTCAAAAAAAAAAAAAGCAAAAACAAAAACAAAAAATGCGGTAGGGTTTTCCTCAGTTATGCAGGACTGTGGGGGGCGAGATTTAATAAAAACTTGGAACCATAAAATCCTTTCAAAGGAGGTATTCTTTTCAATCTCTTCAGAAGAGTTGGTAACCGGTCTCAGCAAAGAGAGCTCTCCTGAGACAAGCTTTTATTGAGCAGATAAGAATAATCTCATTAGTATGTCATTTATTTGATTGTAAAGAGGAAGGTAGAACTCTTTTTGTACATTTACTTAACAGCCTTCCTATAATCTTAATCTTATTCAAGTGACCTCATGTGCCCAAACACCATCTTTTCAAAGGACAAGAAAAAGACGTCTTACCAAATCCTGTCTGAGCTATCCCAACTTCAAAGTCACAATCCTCCCAATAAACCATGCTTCACCCTGGCGACGGGGTGAGGGTTTCAGAACACACGTGGAAAATGGCTGCCTTCCATTTAGGCTGAGAAGGCTTCACAGGTTTTAAAGACTTCATCACCTTCAGAGTACAAGCTATTTTCTAATTGTGTGGGGGAGGCTGGCTCCCTGCTATTTGCATGCCTGTATCTTCAGGCGCAATGTGTGACTGAGAGCCGTTTGTTTCTCTAATTTCAGCACCCTGGGAGATGTGATGAAAAGCTCTGGGCTTGGACAGATCCAGGTTCAAATCCCAACTCAAGCACTCATTAAACTCCAAGGTTGAAGGAATTTCTTAAATTCTCCTAGCTTCGTTGTAAAATGGAACCCCTGGTAGTTTTCGTGAAAATTCAAAAGTGCACGCATGGGGCTTAGAATACGGTAAGCCCTCAACGAGTGATACCTATTTCCATCCCTCAAAATACCCCAAATCTAAAGCTAATTAGAGCACTTCAGTACAGCAATTGTACTTCCTCAGCTCAACATGCTTCCTGATGTCTTCAGGAGGCAGTATTCACCTGGAAGATCGGAGGCTGTGATGTTCCACATGGGATTTTACCCTTCTTAAAACACTACACACAGCCTTTCTTTTTCAAGCACATTCTGCCCTCCCTCTCCTTCCAAAGACTGATTATTGAGACTTTTTCCCTGTAGCGAGGTCACGGTGGTATCAGGTGCTGAGTTATGTAACCCGTGGATGCCCTCAGGGCCCACCGAGGTGCTGGTTTCCACTTCCAGGAGCATCCCGAATCAAGTAGCTGGATTGTTCCCTGGCCGTTTGGGGGCTAGATGAATTATTTTTCTGCCGCCGTTCCACAGGGTGGTGGCAGAATGTGAGACTTCCTTTGGGCAAATAGCTGGGGAGCCCAGAGATCCAGCCCAGCTCCCCAGAAGCTTCGTGGAAACCCCATGTGGCCTGAGGCTCGATCCTGGCCAGGAGCAAAGCTGACCCGAGCACTTTCTGAGAACTCTTACTTAGCACTCGGTGACCTTTTCGGATTCCAGGTTGTCAGGCAGCGACCTCGAAACAAAGAAGACCTGATGTCCACCTCCAGGGCCTTGGGAAATGTCCCAGGGGCCTGACTCCAATTTTCAGAAGAAAAATCACAACAGAGCCCAATTTAGGTGTGGAATTTGAAAATAATAAAGATAAGGGAAATCCACATGGCTGGCCGGTTGTAAACAGCAGCTCCTACGCGGTCAAAACAGGATAGTACCTGAAACAGGGAGCTGGGAGGTCTGCCCAGAGCCAGGGACGAGGTCTGCAGGGGCCGCACTCTGGAGCTCTTCACCTTGTTTGGGTCAAGGGCTCGATAAGAAGCTCCCCAGGAAGAGAAAGCACACACACCTCGCATGCAATTTCTGGGGAACCAAGGGCTCTTAACTGGCCAGGATTCCAGGATTTAAAACCACAAACACCTCCCAGGACTCAAGGGCGTAAACCACATTCACCATTCGCATATCTTAGGATCAGACTAGAACCCAACAACATTAGAATATGAAAGTCTATTCAAGCAGCCCAGAGGGAAATAATTCCGGGCTGCCGGATTAGCAAACAAGAGCAAAGGAGAAAATCCCCGAAGGTCCTTTCTCCACAGAGAAAATTAAGAGCACAATACAGTCACAGACAGGGCACTTGGTGAAGGACACTTTATCAGCAATTTTTTCAGCCCACTATCTGGGTCTTTCCAAAGCCCGGGCTTGAGCTGTGATCTGCAACTAGACAGAGCTTGGTCAGATCCACATGCTGGTGGGAGCCACAATTTTTAAAATGAAACTATCAAATGACAAATTGTTACAGAAAGAGGGTCTTCTACGCTGATGTCGTCGTTGTTGGCGGGGGCAAGGGTGTTGGGGACAAGAGGCGTGCTGTGAAGCACCTCTCCCCACCTGGGTCTTTGGTACCCGGAATTAACAAATGGCTTGGGCTCTTATTCATTGTTTCATAAGATCACTAAAGTGTAATCTTGAGACAACAGGAAAAAAATAATAAAGCTCACAGAAGTGTCCTGGGCTCCTTTGCAGCCGGTCATTGTTCATTTAGTAAACAAGTGAGCCATACAAATCCCTAGGAAGCCAGGTTTGTTCAGTTTACGCGTCCTGCCAGAACTAACTGTTCTTTTGGATAAGCACGGCCTGGGCATTCCACAGACCCACAGGCATCAGGCAGTGGGCAATCAGGGGCTCCGCCTAAATATCACTGCCCCCTTACTTTAAGAAATTTGCCTACACGCACAAAGCAGAGGTGGGGGAGGGGAATTTGAGAGTGCTGGCTCCTCCCAAGCTTTCCACTTTGAAGGATTTGGCCCAGTCTCGAGGGCAGGGAGCAGGGAACCAGGAATATTGTCCTCAGGGCTCTACTGGACATTCCTGGAGTCTGTTTCCTGGGCAGGACGGCCAGGTGAGAGGCAGCCTATCATACTGGATGTCCACTGCAATGTGGAGCAGCAAAATGTTCCCCAGCGCCTTAAAGTACAGCCGCTGTCCATCCACGGATGTCAAAACGCTCTACAAACCACCCATTAATTTTTATGGTGGCCTGAGAAGCAGATTGAGAATCATTACCTTGATTTTTACAAGGCAAGGAACCAAAACCACAGAGGGCGGTGAGGCTCCAGGCCTCTCTCATCATTCCATCTGGGCCACAGATCTCAAGGAAAACCCCAGCCCACTGGGAAGGGGACTCGTGGCCAGCAGAGACTCTGCTCGGGTAGGGAGCAAGGAAAAAAACCCAAACTTTGGAGCTCAGAGATGCTCACAAGGGTGGGAAGGGGAGGCTGCATTTACGGATTCTCTGGTTTAGGCGAGAATGGCTTCAGTCTAACTTAAGGTTCCAACCTGCGAGGCTGTGACAAGGCTGGTACAAACTGTGGGACTGGGGATTTTTTTACCGTTTGCTGTTTATCTTTCTCTTTAGCTTTCTGCCCTGAGCACACATTGTTTCTGTAATCAGAACAAAAGTTGTGCAAACTTTATTATTATCACGGATACATTCTATAGTTCCAATCTGCCTACTAACTTGGAAAGAATAAGCAGAAAATACAATCTCGCAATGAGATTTTTCAGAAAATTTCATTTATCCTTCAGGTTCCACGACCCTCTGCTCCCAGAGCCCGGCGGCTCTCCCGCGGCTCCTCCAGCGCGGTACCTCTGGGTGCCCGACACCCGGCCAGGGCCAGCTGGGCCTGTCCTCCAGCCCCGTTTACACCGCAGGCCCCGGGCTAGGAGCCGCGGGACCCAGGGTTGGGGTCCCAACAGACACACACACCCCCAGCCGCGGATCGGGCTTCTCGGTAAACATCGCTCAGAGAACAACGCGCCTCTATCCCAGCCGGTCCCCACCCCCGGGCCGCCGGCGCTGTCACCTCGCGGCTGCTCGGTCACAGGATCGCCAAGCCAGAAACCGGAGTTTTCAATTTCATCCTCACGGGAGGGATCTCCGAAGAAGTTGAAATATGCATTGTCACCAACAAGTTTAACGGGAGACCGCGCGCCCTTCCCTCCTCCCCAGCGCCGCGCGAGGGGGGCGCCCCGACCCTTCCACGCCCTCCCGTGGCCCCCACGGCCCCCGCCAGCCGAGCGCGCCCCCGAGGACGCGTCGGGTTACCCAGGGAGGCCACCCCACAGGGCCGCCCGCCGGGAAGTGGCCAGAGCCGGGGTGGGGGGTCGGCCCGAGTGCACGCGGGGGGCTCCGAGAGCTGCTCGGTGCCCGGAACCCCGGGCCCTGCCCCCCGCCTGCCAGCTCCGGGGCTACCCGAGCGCCCGGGGGAGAGGCGAGGGGCGCGCGAGGCTTCCCTGAAGCCGCCCCGCGCCCGCCACGCCCGGGCACCCCGCATCCCCGAACTCCGGCGGCGGGGGCGGGATCGGCGCCCCCGAGGGCGTGCAACGCCCCGAGCAAGACCCCCAGGGCCCCGCCGCCCGAGGCGCTCCCCGCCGCCGCCTGCTTACCTGGCTCGCATGGCGTCCCGGCGGGCTCCTGCGGCTCCGCTCGTCGGCCGGCGGCTCGGCCCAGCCGGGGACGCGCGCGGCTCCGCGGGACTCACGGCGGCGGCGGCAGCGCTGGCGGAAAGGGGCCCGGACCTCCGAGAGTGCCGGGCGCGCAGGGCCCCCGCCTCGGCGGGCGGAGGGTGGTCCCGCGCCGGGGCGGGGGCGGGGCGGGGGCGCGGGGGGCGGGGCCGGGACCGGAGCGGCGGCCGAGGGGGGGGGGGGCCCCCGCGGGGGCGGGGCCTCGGGAGAGGGGCGGGGCGGGGCGCGGCAGCCCGAGGCCGCGGGCGTGGGGCGGGCTGGGGGTGGTGCCGCGGCTCCGGGTCCCCGCGGGGATCCAGTCTCGGCGCCTCCTCCTTTCCTCCGCGTGGCGCCGGCCAGGGTGGCGGGGTCCCGGCCGCCCGCATCCCCGGGTCTGGGTGCCCGGTACCGAGCAGGTCTGGGTGCCCGCCCGCGCTGCTGTGGCCCCCGCACCCCCACTTCCCACCCCTTCTCCGGGAACCCCTAGAGAGGACCCCTGGGGCAGTGCAGCCCGGCAAGCGGGCGTGGGCAAGGGTCGCGCGGCGTTCTGAGGCGCCTTACAACCCCCTGGGCGAGGACGCTGGAGGGAGGGCGGGGCGCGAGGCTGCGGGGCCGGCGCGAAAGTTACAAACTAAGAACCCGAGGGAAAGCAGCCACGCTGAAAATCACCAGGGCAGGGAGCCTCCTGCGAAGCGGAATGCAGATGGAAGGGCTCCGGTCGGAATCCTTTGCACTTCGTCTGACCTGGGCCTCTGGGTCCCCGGCCGGTGTACATGCCTGGCACATAGTAGGCGCTCCGTCAACGCTCAGTGAGTGAACGCACCGCTTAACTATGTGGTCTATGGACGGACACATCTAATCCTTTAAAAAAAAAAATCCCAATTTTGGCTACTCCCCTTAGTCCATTTCACACGGGTAAGCGAGAGCTCCGAGGGTTGGTTCGCCACAGCAGGAAAGGGGAGAACCAGAATCGGAACCGAGGCCGACTCCAGAGGCTGGGGTCTAACCACTGTGCCCCCGCCCGGGGCCCTCGGGACTGCGCCCACCCCCACCCCGGGAACCGGAGACCAGGAGAAAGCGCGGGTCTTTGGCGGGGAAGAAGCCAACATTTGTGGCTCCGGGTCCTGAGTGGGATACACACAGTCAGTCCTCACCGTTAACCCCGAGGCAGATATTGTTATTGTACCCATTTTACAGGTGACTTGAGACCCTAAACACTATCTTATGATCACATGGGACGGGCCAGAGTCTGAATTCAAACCGGGGATGTTCAGACTTGGAGACCTTCCTTTCCCTAAGGAATCCTGTTTTCTGCCACTCCTTTTGAAGTCTGTGTTGAAGTTTAAGGACACACAGGTGGACAGAGACACGGACCTAGGGCTTGGGGGAAGGGTGGACATTGCTGTCCTGATTTTGGTGTCATCTCTGTGTAGATCGTGGAATTCTTGAAAATGGACACGAGTATCCCTAAAATATATGCCACAGATTTTAAAAGGGGGCAGTGGGGCAAAGGTGCAGGTGGAGGAAGCAGAGAAGCCTCCGAGCAGAGGAGAGTTTCTGGGTGGCTAGGAGGTCTGGTGTAGGGGTGTGTCTGAAGTGTGCTTGAATCTCTGGCAAGTTATCTCGCCTCTCTGTGACTCAGTTTCCTAAATGAGTATAAAAATGAAATGCAACATGTAAAGTGCTCAGCAGACTGCTGGCATGTAGTAGCTTTTAATAAGTTTTAGCTACTAGTTACTGCTATCCCAAATAACATCCACACTGTGCTTTAAAAAAATGCCTCTAAAGCTCTGAAAAAGACGAGCCAGTAAAAAATGGACGAAAGCTATGTAGACCATTCCGGAAGGGCCGCAAATGGGTCGAAGCACGAAAACTCCTTGGCTGTACCAGTGAGGGGGCTAGGGCAAAACACACACACACAAACAATCGAATAAGAGAATTCTAGGCCTTACAAACCACTTAAAAAAAAAAAAGAAAGAAAGAAAACTCGGCGTGTCCAGGCAGCTCAGTTCACTAAGCAGTGAGGGTGGAAGATACCCCTAAAAATTACAAATAACCGAGTGCCGTGGAAACGCAGGACGGAACGTGAGTAAACAAAGCATTGCAGATTTCGCCTGGGGAAGCAGAGAGCATGGCTTATGATGTCCACATATGTATGCGAGTACTTGCTACCGTCATGCCTCAAGCATCCTCAAACCAGTCCACATCCTAGAGAAAAATGTACAGAGGTCAGAATGTTTAAACAATGGTTAAAAAAAAAAAAAAGCACACACATTACCTTATAATCTTACTGCAATAACTCTGATTCTTCTTCAGCTGGTATGAGCCAGGGAGGCAACATTACTGGTTTAGATGTAAGTTGTCTGTGAACTGTTTTCTCTTTTGTATCCTGGAAGGCAAAAGGATCTCTAGATGTTGCTTCCTGTTGAATGTATGCTTTTTTTCCACCAGTTTTTGTTACTTGCTCTTCTAAAGGCTTCTGGAACAAAAGAAAAAAGAAGAGCTATTCATTCATAACATTCAATTATTCAATAAGCCTTTCCAGTGGGAACACATACAGCAAAATCAATAACTTGTTTTTTTTAGTACAGAGATAACACATTTGTTTCAAAGGATTAAAAGGATTAGAAAAATGTGTAGAGTAAAAAGTAAACATCAATCCTAAGTTCATACCCTTTCCCAGATTCCACAGTTAACAGTGAATTATACTCTGCCAGAAGCTTTCTCCAAGCGTTTGCATGTGTTGGGTGTGTGCGTGTGCAGTGATACATATGTGCGTGATGTGTGTGGGTGTATATGCATGCACATGCAGCTATGTATAAAGACCGTGTGGTGGGTTCTAAAATCAAGCTGCCCCGCTTTGAATGCCAACCCTGCTACTCACCCGCTGGTGACGTAAAGCAGGGCCACTCAGTGCCTGTTTTCTTACCTTAAAGTGGGTACAGTGCTCACCAGGATTAATGGAGGTGGTGCGTGGAGACTGCTTAACGTAGTGCTGAGCACACGGTACATCGTTTACAAATATAAGCCCTTAGTATTTACACACACATACACGTTATTCTTTGTTTCACATTAGTAAGTCCAAGACAGTGAAATTCGTACATTTCGGACCGGGAGCCATGGCTCATGCCTGTAATCCCATCACTTTGGGAGGCCGAGGAGAGTGATCATGAGGTCAGAAGATAGAGACCGTCCTGGTCAACATGGCCAAGCCTCATCTCTACTAAAAATACAAAAAAAATTAGCTGGGTGTGATGGTGCACACCTATAGTCCCAGCTACTTGGGAGGCTGAGGCAGGAGAATTGCTTGAACCCAGGAGGTGGAGATTGCAGTGAGCTGAGATCGCACCACTGCACTACAGCCTGGGCAACAGTGCCAGACTCCATCTCAAAAAAAAAAAAAAGAAAGAAAGAAATTTGTACATCTCAAAAGGACTCCACTTGGCAAACCTCTCTGTGAGCACGGGTTCCTCTGTGTTGGGTTGTACTTAGTGTCTCTGTTGTCTAGGAAAGTGAGATGTGCAGGGAAGAACTGGGATAGGTTTGACGGTCAATGTGCTGTGTCTGTTGCTAACGCCAGCAACAGTTAAATCACACCAACCACCTCCACCAACGATTCATTCCAGGGACTTTTCAGAATAGATACAACACTCCCAGGAAAAGCAGCCTGGGCAAGAATAACTCTCAAGTAGAATACACTATCCTGAACTCTACATAAGTGCTCTAATATGTTATAACATTCTGGCCACCTATAACATACGCTTCACATTAGGAAATAGCTCCTCAGAAATTGCATGTGGGCCTATCATGAAAATATCTCTCTGTGGACAAAAACATTCTCAACAATGAAATAAAAAGAATAATGTTCTCTGGTGAAGTGAAATCATTAATGACCCAATGCCCATTTCATGGGGAAAATAGAATGCAAATGTCCAAAACACAGCTAAAGGAGCAAAGAAGAACATAAGGCATACAATATTTTTCAAATGGAATCTATAGCAATAGAAATTTAATCGTCAATGTGGGTGAATGGAATTTTGAATGAATTGTCTCTGACTCAGAATGTGGAGAAAGGTCCTGTTATCAAAATTCAAGCCTGGATACATACCCTCTGTTGGTGATGTAATTTGGATATTTGTTGCTTCTAAATCTCACATTGAGATACAACTCCCAATGTTGGAGGTGGGACCTGGTGGAAGTTGTTTAGGTCATGGCGACAGACCCCTCATGCCTTGATGGTGTCCTCCCAAAAGTGAGTGAGTACCTGGGAGATCTGGCCTTTAAAAGTATGTGGCACCTCCCTCTCTCTCTCTCTTGCTCCCCCTTCGTCTTCCACCAGAAATAAAAGCTCCCTGAGGCATCATCAGAAACTGGACAATGCGGGAGCTATGCTTGGTACACCCTGCAGAACTGTGAGCCAAATAAATCTCTTTTCTGTGTAAATTACCCATTCTCAGATCTTCTTGTATAGCAACACAAGAATGGCCTAATAGGGTGGATTTAAGTTGGGGGAGAAAATGCTGCTTCCGTGATTCCCAAGCCTACAGAATGACATGAATTTGTTCAAAAAAATCTTTATTGGACATCTGCTATGGGCCAGCCCCTGAGCATGGCCCCAGGGAGTAGGTGCCCTAGTGAGACAGAGGCAGCTGAGATTCCACAGGGGAGCCAGGCAGAAGGGGAGCCGCAAAGCCTGCAGGTGGTGATAAGTGTCCTAAAAGAAACACAACATGCTGCGGACTAGGATGACCTGCTTTATGTGGGAGGGCTGAGGAAGGCCCTAAGGGGAGGTCACAGTGGACCCAAAGGGAACAGAGCGTGGAGGGGCATGTACAAAGACCCTGAGGCCTGAAAGAGCTTCACGGCCTCAGGGAACTGAATGACACCAGTGAGGCCAGAGAGAAAAGAATGAAGTGAATGAAAAGAGGTAAAGAGAGAGATTCCAAAGGGTCTGTGTCGGGAAATGGGGGTTCATGGGGCATCTGGATCCTGCCCATCCTCTGTAACTTTCCCAGCAGCTTGGAGAGCATCACTTTGCTAAGAATTCAATAATACATGAGCTATGAGAGAGAGAGACTTCGGTTTTGCCAGAAAGTGTGGGGTGATCTGTCTGCCATTCTGAGAAGCCTCTATCCTTCCA